TTTTCTTTTCTTTTCTTTTTCAATGATCTGAGAAAGATTAGGTGTAGACATTTCCAAAACATCTCTTAATGTGTGATGATCGTTTGCAGGCAGGGTTGTTTGACCCATATAGTGATGATCCTCGTCTTGGTATCAAGAAGATGGAGATGTGCGCATACACAGGGACTCTTGTTGTAGCGGGCACAGCAGGTCAAGTCCTTATCCTAAATATTAGCATGGAAGAAAAGGAACTTGTACCTGAGGTGAGAATCATATTTAACCAGTATAGGTGTAGTTTATTTTATTATAATGTATCATTCATTAGTACATTTGAACTACAGTAAGTCCCCAACTTAAAAACATAATGGGGACTGAGAGGCTGTTTGTAAGTTGATTTGTTTGTATGTCGAAAGTCAGGTCTCCATTACCTTTTTTTTCCTTTGTTTTAAAGTTTTGTTTGCATTAAGAATACCTGTAAATAAATCCCAATAAGTACGACATACCTTATACAGTACCAGATTCTTGAACTATATTCGTGCCCGGGAAATTTGAAGTTTGCTAGCATCTTTCAAACAATTTTTTGGAATGTAGTACTTAAAAAATTTTGTTTGTATGTATGGAATGTTCATAAGTAGAATGTTCTTAAGTAGGGGACTATCTGTATCTGATTATGATTTTCGATTCCAAATGCATCAAAGAATATATTATTCTGTTTTTAATGCATCATAGAATAGGATATTCTCTGTATGCTATATTGTAGACTGTGCACTTAATTTGTTTACTGAATATTAAAACTGGTTCCACTAACTGAGAACTCATCATAATACTTACTTTCAGGCTGTAGATGTAAATTTGGTAGCTGAGACTGACAACTTTGTCTGGAAGAGTCATAGCAAACTGGATATGCAGACTGAAACTGTAAAGTTTGAGGCTGGCATGCAGGTAAGTTCCATTGATTTTTTAATCTTTAATTTCTTTATTGGTGTATTTTGCTAAATGCTACTTTTATTAATTTCATATGCAGAAACTGATATAATAAGTATCATGTTTTTAAAGAGGAAATATTTAATAGATGGCAGTGCAAGTGGAAATAGTTGGGGGGGGGGGGGATGAGAACATAAATATGTGTGCGTGCGTGCACGTGTGTGTGTAAATATATATGTATGTATATATAAGTAAACATCCATATCTTCATATTATGCGGGCAACATATACTATGAGATCAATATATTACAATTCACTGATAAGCCTGAAGAAACTTAAAATAGATTATTTTGACCTGTCACAAATTGAAGCAAGACATTGTTTCAGCATTTAAGTGCATATGATTTGAAATCAGAGATGAATCATTGATATGAAATTGATGTGTTCTTCTTCCTCCACAGCCCACAGCAGTCGTACAGTTTTACCCTCCAGCTTCCTGTACATCTTTGACCCTAAACAGCGAATGGGGTCTTGTTGCTTGTGGTACAGCTCATGGATTTGCACTCTTTGACATTATTCAGAAGAAGAACTTGCTTGCCAAAAGTACTTTAAGCCCTCTAGGTATGTTTCTTTCTTTCTTTCTTTTTCTGTGGGTAGTTTTTTTCTTGTCTTGTCTTTCTTAGAACAAATTGGTATTTTGTTCATAACTAAGAACAGGGTCTGGATCTTACCCAACATCTTTACCAAGACAAATACTAATTTTTATTAGCTTTAAATGAATATATTCTGCTTTCATCTAGAATTTATTGATTTCATTAATTTAGTCAAGGTTTAGTCACACAATTCATTTGTTCATTCATCCTTAATTCTTTCATTTATTGTTCAGTCATCAACCAGTCTTTCATCATTTACAACCCATTATACCCCTTTCAGACTTAGCCAACACAGCTGATGAAGGACCAATGTCCAGGAGAAAATCCCTCAAGAAGTCACTACGAGAGTCTTTCCGCAGATTACGTCGTGGAAGATCGCAAAGAAAAACGGGAAAGCCAGGAGCCACCTCACCAACGGGGGCACATCCACAAAGGTGAGCACAAATAGAGATGAGTGACAGTAGTATTCATGAGTGGATTTATGAATGAGTAGTCTTTTTGGTCTTAATGGATCCTGCTCATTGTGTCTTAAAAGCAGACAAAGATGCAAGAGTATTGGTGTTTGGAATTAAGGTAATGAAAGGGACACGTATGTGGTGAGATGTTTTAATTCTCAGTAGTGATAACATCATTATGATTATTTGTTTATGTGCTTATCTGTTTATTCCAAAGGGAAGTTTTGTCTTTCCTGTTCATTCAGAAGAATTTCTCTGTTTGACTCTTGGAAGAAAATGTGAAAATGCTCACTGGGAAACTGGACTGCTTATTAGCTTTTGCTTAAAAGACCTTGAATTTCAACAGTTTTAGGTTTTGAGAAATGAATGTAATTGAAAAACGTCTGGTTCATTGCCAGTGGTATCTATGCATATGTAAGGCTATGCAGTTTTTTATATATGTTTATTAGTCAGTAAACTGTTCAAAGATGATTTTTTCTGGTGTCTGCTACATGCTCACAGTGAATAGTGTTTATAAGGCACTGTGACTCACAGTGTACTAGAATCTGGGTAAAAGTATAAGCTTACATAAGTATAGTGTAATTATTTTTACTAAAAAACCTTAGTATACTGAAGAGATAAAACCAGAATTCTTCTTAGTCAATAGAAGACAGTTAAGTATGTATACTTTCTTTTTTATCTTCTGTGTCACTATCCCTGATTTAGCTCTAAAAGACAGGCAATAGTAATCTTAGATTTTCTTGACTATTATTTTAAGGAGATTGACTGTGAGATTCAGTGTGATTTCTCTGAAATTAACTCAGTCTTTTCAGCAACTTTTCCTTGACTTTTAACTTCTTGAGCTTAATATTGCTACAATATCTAGATGCATGAAAGTTATATATTGATCTTCTCATACTGTATTGTGAAAAAGCTGCTTTTAGAGATAATGATAATAAAAAGAGCTAATGAACCAGTTCACTTTTCAGTCATGTGCAGTTGATGTAATTCCTTAGATACTGTTTATCTTGGGCATGAAGAATTTGTATAAAGCCTATTTCTGATCTGTAGAAAACGTGTTGCAAAACATATAAGATGCTTGTTTGAAAACTCCCTTGTAGACAAGTAATTCTTTGTCCATGACTCATGTGGTTCTTGTAGTTTGTCTGCGAGCTCATGGAGGCCAAAAGTCCGCAGGCAGGATCCATGCCCAGTGCCCCTTACAAGCGGGTCAAACTATCTGCCAAAAATAAATTTAACCCCCCCACCCCCCCTCCTCTAGGGTGGACCATGATATAATTAGTGACACCAGTGATGAGTCCCACGATGAGGACGACGAACCGACTAGGTAAATGTAAGCGCAACAGAAATGGAAGCAATTGGCTTATTTCGCTTTCCTTTTTTGAGCATCTTATAACAACGCAGCTGCTGTAGGCATGTGACAGGCATCGCTTGAGTGGGACAGTAGAAACTCTTGATCTCAAGGACGGTGTTCGGAGCAGAACCAAGTCTTTTTAAAGCATTTTGAACTGGAATTCAATTATAAGAATGGTAAAAGATAAAAGGAGTAATACAAAAGAATTTGATTTTAAGACAAGTTGACAGGGTTTTGCATATTTGTTTTGGTAACACATTACTTTTCTTATGTAGTACAAATCCAGTACAAGGAACACGGTTGTTACATTTGGGTAGCTACATTATATACATTCTCATGAATTTCATAGTACAACAAAGCAAGTAATGCTTAATTCAGCATACAATACTGAGAATTTAAACTTTTTTCAGCCAATGAATTCCTTCCAGATTGTCATATCATGTAGTCTTGATTTCAGAGATTCTACTGTACTGTTTTATTTTTTATTTCAATTTTCTTAATTTTATTTTATAATATTTTTTTTCTGTTACTTTTTTTGTTTATTTATTTATTTTCAGTTGCATTTTATTTTTCTCCTTTGAGAAAAAAAGCAGAAAACACTGAATGTAAACATACGACACTGTTCAGGCAGCAGCTGCGTCTGAGACCCCTGGGGCATCCCAAGGGAGCCAGCGGGAAGAGGATGTACCCCAGCGTGCAGCTCTTGCCCAGGAGGAACTCTCTGAGGAAGGGATAGAAGTAGCTGAGGAGGCAGAGAACAAAGGTAAGCCTGGTAGCGAGGAGAAAGAAGAGTCTGAAATAGCTGGGACAAAAGAAGGTGTGCCTTTCTTCTACTATGTTACCCCCAAGAGGCTACGTGACAAGTCCATGAGTCCTACAAAAAAGGACAAAATTAAGAGCAGCAAGAAGGAAAAGAAAAAGGAGAAGAGTGCCACAACACCAGACAAAGAGGAGGGGGAGGAAGAGAAGGAGGAGAAGGAGAAGGAGAAGAAGGTGGAGGTGTCCAAGCAAGCCGGAAGGAAGGACAGTAAATGCGCTGGTGAAGAGACTCCTGGCCAAGCAGCTGCGTCTGAGACCCCTGGGGCATCCCAAGGGAGCCAGCGGGAAGAGGATGTACCCCAGCGTGCAGCTCTTGCCCAGGAGGAACTCTCTGAGGAAGGGATAGTAGTTGCTGAGGAGGCAGAGAACAAAGGTAAGCCTGGTAGCGAGGAGAAAGAAGAGTCTGAAATAGCTGGGACAAAAGAAGGTGTGCCTTTCTTCTACTATGTTACCCCCAAGAGGCTACGTGACAAGTCCATGAGTCCTACAAAAAAGGACAAAATTAAGAGCAGCAAGAAGGAAAAGAAAAAGGAGAAGAGTGCCACAACACCAGACAAAGAGGAGGGAGGAAGAGGAGGAGGAGGAGAAGGAGAAGGAGAAGAAGGTGGAGGTGTCCAAGCAAGCCGGAAGGAAGGACAGTAAATGCGCTGGTGAAGAGACTCCTGGCCAAGCAGCTGCGTCTGAGACCCCTGGGGCATCCCAAGGGAGCCAGCGGGAAGAGGATGTACCCCAGCGTGCAGCTCTTGCCCAGGAGGAACTCTCTGAGGAAGGGATAGTAGTTGCTGAGGAGGCAGAGAACAAAGGTAAGCCTGGTAGCGAGGAGAAAGAGGAGTCTGAAATAGCTGGGACAAAAGAAGGTGTGCCTTTCTTCTACTATGTTACCCCCAAGAGGCTACGTGACAAGTCCATGAGTCCTACAAAAAAGGACAAAATTAAGAGCAGCAAGAAGGAAAAGAAAAAGGAGAAGAGTGCCACAACACCAGACAAAGAGGAGGGGGAGGAAGAGAAGGAGGAGAAGGAGAAAGAGAAGAAGGTGGAGGTGTCCAAGCAAGCCGGAAGGAAGGACAGTAAATGCGCTGGTGAAGAGACTCCTGGCCAAGCAGCTGCGTCTGAGACCCCTGGGGCATCCCAAGGGAGCCAGCGGGAAGAGGATGTACCCCAGCGTGCAGCTCTTGCCCAGGAGGAACTCTCTGAGGAAGGGATAGAAGTAGCTGAGGAGGCAGAGAACAAAGGTAAGCCTGGTAGCGAGGAGAAAGAAGAGTCTGAAATAGCTGGGACAAAAGAAGGTGTGCCTTTCTTCTACTATGTTACCCCCAAGAGGCTACGTGACAAGTCCATGAGTCCTACAAAAAAGGACAAAATTAAGAGCAGCAAGAAGGAAAAGAAAAAGGAGAAGAGTGCCACAACACCAGACAAAGAGGAGGGGGAGGAAGAGAAGGAGGAGAAGGAGAAGGAGAAGAAGGTGGAGGTGTCCAAGCAAGCCGGAAGGAAGGACAGTAAATGCGCTGGTGAAGAGACTCCTGGCCAAGCAGCTGCGTCTGAGACCCCTGGGGCATCCCAAGGGAGCCAGCGGGAAGAGGATGTACCCCAGCGTGCAGCTCTTGCCCAGGAGGAACTCTCTGAGGAAGGGATAGAAGTAGCTGAGGAGGCAGAGAACAAAGGTAAGCCTGGTAGCGAGGAGAAAGAAGAGTCTGAAATAGCTGGGACAAAAGAAGGTGTGCCTTTCTTCTACTATGTTACCCCCAAGAGGCTACGTGACAAGTCCATGAGTCCTACAAAAAAGGACAAAATTAAGAGCAGCAAGAAGGAAAAGAAAAAGGAGAAGAGTGCCACAACACCAGACAAAGAGGAGGAGGAGGAAGAGGAGGAGGAGGAGAAGGAGAAGGAGAAGAAGGTGGAGGTGTCCAAGCAAGCCGGAAGGAAGGACAGTAAATGCGCTGGTGAAGAGACTCCTGGCCAAGCAGCTGCGTCTGAGACCCCTGGGGCATCCCAAGGGAGCCAGCGGGAAGAGGATGTACCCCAGCGTGCAGCTCTTGCCCAGGAGGAACTCTCTGAGGAAGGGATAGTAGTAGCTGAGGAGGCAGAGAACAAAGGTAAGCCTGGTAGCGAGGAGAAAGAGGAGTCTGAAATAGCTGGGACAAAAGAAGGTGTGCCTTTCTTCTACTATGTTACCCCCAAGAGGCTACGTGACAAGTCCATGAGTCCTACAAAAAAGGACAAAATTAAGAGCAGCAAGAAGGAAAAGAAAAAGGAGAAGAGTGCCACAACACCAGACAAAGAGGAGGGGGAGGAAGAGAAGGAGGAGAAGGAGAAAGAGAAAGAGAAAGAGAAAGAAGAGTTGGAAGAAGGAAAGGGCAAGAGCAAGACTTGGCTCCCTGCAGTATTTTCACGTAAAGACAAGGGTGATGGAGATGAGCCAGTTGAAGGAGAGCCAGCTCCTGAGGTGGAAGAGATTGCCCCTGAACAGACCAAAGCCCCAGGCATCTTCCAGAAGATCTTTAGTCGCCAGGCAAGTGCCACAACTGTAGAGGGGCACGAGGAAGTTGAAGTAGAGGTAACAGAGAAAACACAGTCTGGACTTGGGAGATTTTTCAGTAAGCAGACTAGCCCAGAGACACCTGTAGAAAGTGAGCAGCAGCAACCACCTTCTCAGGCCTCAACACCAAAGCCAGGAGTTAATCGGTTCAAAGACTGGCTTCAGCGACGTGAGACTGATGAAGAAATTGTGAAAGTAGAAGGAATAGAGCCAGGTGAGTCAAAAGAAAGCTCCCTTCGTAGGCTGTTCCAGCGCTCTCGCCCTGGTACCCTCGAGAGTGGAGTAAAATCTGAAAGCCAAGGAGACATTGGGACAGGAAGCACCAAGTCTCCGTCTGAGCTGACCAAGCGACATCGATTCCGACTGGCATTCAGGCAGCGGCACCATAGTGAAGAGGCCCGTGCTCCCCCAGAACCAGTCCAGCTGCCAGATATTGAAGAGTCCCAAGTAAAGTCTCGTTCATTGACACGTCCCCGTAAACTTTGGATTGGCAGTCGCAGTCGGAGCGAACAGAAAGCTAGCCCAGACCCGTCTGTAACACCCACTGTTCCCACAGCAACACCAGATCCTGCACTAACTCCTGAACCAGAGCAGAAGGGCACGTCGCCTCAGCAGACAAAGCATTCATTCTTCCAGTCACTTAGAGGCCGGAAGGGACGTCAAGAGCAAAGCTCAGAAACCCAGAAGAAGAAAGCAGAGGCCTCCCCAGAGAGGGCAAAGGAAGACACCTTACAGCGTGCCGAGAGTTATGAGCTGGCCATGTCGGATGTAAATGTGATCAAGTCGAAAGATTCCAAAGATGCAGGGGAAGCAAGTTCAAGTAGAATTAAACTCTTGTTCAAGCAGAAGAGTGAGGTAATCCTGAGACCCTTTAGTCGCCGCACAGCCAATCAAGAGAAACGGAAGAGTGCACCGGTGCCACACGTGGAAGTGACGCCCAAAGAGCCCGAAGTGGAGGTTCCCGACATAGAAGCTAGACACCCCAGCATTAGCACTTACATAGACGAGACTCCCTCAGCTTTCACTTCTCCTCATATCCTTCCTGATGAACCCATCACCATCGAATCCGATCCTTTTCCCTCTGACATTACCCAGTCTGATCCTCAACAGGTCCCAGGGGCCCTCAGCCCCGTGCAGCACCCCCAGTCCCCCGAATCTGACTCAGATTCACTAGTGCTAGATCTCCATAGTATGCAGTCAACCCCAGATGTAGTTCGCAGAGATCCTGATAGTCGTGTTAGTACCCTTGAACGAGCCCTTAGTCGTAGGCTAACCTTTTCCCTGCCCTTTGGTAGTGCTGGAGGTGGAGGGGCAGCAGCAGATGATGATGGGTTGAAGCCTGTGGAGAGAGCCATTGAAGCACGCTCACAGACCAGTGACTACATTGGATCTATGGTTCGTTGTTTGCACCTAACAAAATGCTTCATTGCCAACAGTAAGTTCATATTATTTTTATTAGGTGGATAGGATATGATTTTTTATATTCTGGGAAACAACAACAACAAAAAAAACAGGATGCCAAAATATGTTCCCTCCCTTTCATGAATTTTGTTTTATTCTAGCCAGATAATTAACACTGATTCTCTTGGTAGGGCCTGGATACACTGGCTATGTTTTGTTTTGATTATCAAGCCTTCCATCATCTACTGCGATGAAATTTTTAGTTTGTGCTTAAGATTCTTATTTTATGATACATTTAAAATACATTTTTAAGAGATCACATTCTACAATATATAGAAATATTAGTTTAATACAAGACTGATCAGTTGAATAGACAATCACAGGCTTTTACACTGGATATCTGGTACAAAGGCAATCCCTAACCATCCCATAGCTCAGCTGATGTCTGCCACTTTATGGGCGGGCACCAACAGTGGCGCCATCTTCGTCTTCACGATTGCTATTCCACCCTCTGAGAAGCGCAGTGAGATCCCACTAAGTGTCCAGATTGGCAAAGAAATCCACCTCAAACACGGCGCTCCCGTCATCAGTATATGTGTGCTTGATGGGGCAAATCGACCCTTCCCTGAACCCATGGCGGTGAAGAAGGAGGCTGCCCCTGCGCCAAATCCCAATATGCCACATAGAGTGTTGATATGCTCCGAAGAACAGTTTAAGGTATGATAATTTAAATAGTATTTATGGCTGGATTAATCTATAAATAGTGGAGTGCCTGTTTTGCATATGCTGAGCAATGTGGCAGTGTCGCTCATAAAACCAACCACAAAGATGTAGAAACTATCTGATTATAAATGATGTAGATGCCAAGTGCTGCAGACATGGTTGTAAATTAATCTGGATAATTATAAGTCTTTAATATTAGTGAGGGGTATAGGTTGTATAGAAGATTGGAAGTAGAGAATATTTTTGTAAAAATAGTGCTTCTTCTTTTTCTTCTTCATTACTTTAGTACTTTAGTAATTTCTCTCTCATATTGCCACCATTAAAAGAGAGGAGTTAATAAATCTCTTGAATATATATTAAGTTTTGTCTGTCTGTCTGTCTGTCTGTCTGTCTGTCTGTCTGTCTGTCTGTCTGTCTGTCTGTCTGTCTGTCTGTCTGTCTGTCTGTCTGTCTGTCTGTCTGTCTGTCTGTCTGTCTGTCTGTCTGTCTGTCTGTCTGTCTGTCTGTCTGTCTGTCTGTCTGTCTGTCTGTCTGTCTGTCTGTCTGTCTGTCTGTCTGTCTGTCTGTCTGTCTGTCTGTCTGTCTGTCTGTCTGTCTGTCTGTCTGTCTGTCTGTCTGTCTGTCTGTCTGTCTGTCTGTCTGTCTGTCTGTCTGTCTGTCTGTCTGTCTGTCTGTCTGTCTGTCTGTCTGTCTGTCTGTCTGTCTGTCTGTCTGTCTGTCTGTCTGTCTGTCTGTCTGTCTGTCTGTCTGTCTGTCTGTCTGTCTGTCTGTCTGTCTGTCTGTCTGTCTGTCTGTCTGTCTGTCTGTCTGTCTGTCTGTCTGTCTGTCTGTCTGTCTGTCTGTCTGTCTGTCTGTCTGTCTGTCTGTCTGTCTGTCTGTCTGTCTGTCTGTCTGTCTGTCTGTCTGTCTGTCTGTCTGTCTGTCTGTCTGTCTGTCTGTCTGTCTGTCTGTCTGTCTGTCTGTCTGTCTGTCTGTCTGTCTGTCTGTCTGTCTGTCTGTCTGTCTGTCTGTCTGTCTGTCTGTCTGTCTGTCTGTCTGTCTGTCTGTCTGTCTGTCTGTCTGTCTGTCTGTCTGTCTGTCTGTCTGTCTGTCTGTCTGTCTGTCTGTCTGTCTGTCTGTCTGTCTGTCTGTCTGTCTGTCTGTCTGTCTGTCTGTCTGTCTGTCTGTCTGTCTGTCTGTCTGTCTGTCTGTCTGTCTGTCTGTCTGTCTGTCTGTCTGTCTGTCTGTCTGTCTGTCTGTCTGTCTGTCTGTCTGTCTGTCTGTCTGTCTGTCTGTCTGTCTGTCTGTCTGTCTGTCTGTCTGTCTGTCTGTCTGTCTGTCTGTCTGTCTGTCTGTCTGTCTGTCTGTCTGTCTGTCTGTCTGTCTGTCTGTCTGTCTGTCTGTCTGTCTGTCTGTCTGTCTGTCTGTCTGTCTGTCTGTCTGTCTGTCTGTCTGTCTGTCTGTCTGTCTGTCTGTCTGTCTGTCTGTCTGTCTGTCTGTCTGTCTGTCTGTCTGTCTGTCTGTCTGTCTGTCTGTCTGTCTGTCTGTCTGTCTGTCTGTCTGTCTGTCTGTCTGTCTGTCTGTCTGTCTGTCTGTCTGTCTGTCTGTCTGTCTGTCTGTCTGTCTGTCTGTCTGTCTGTCTGTCTGTCTGTCTGTCTGTCTGTCTGTCTGTCTGTCTGTCTGTCTGTCTGTCTGTCTGTCTGTCTGTCTGTCTGTCTGTCTGTCTGTCTGTCTGTCTGTCTGTCTGTCTGTCTGTCTGTCTGTCTGTCTGTCTGTCTGTCTGTCTGTCTGTCTGTCTGTCTGTCTGTCTGTCTGTCTGTCTGTCTGTCTGTCTGTCTGTCTGTCTGTCTGTCTGTCTGTCTGTCTGTCTGTCTGTCTGTCTGTCTGTCTGTCTGTCTGTCTGTCTGTCTGTCTGTCTGTCTGTCTGTCTGTCTGTCTGTCTGTCTGTCTGTCTGTCTGTCTGTCTGTCTGTCTGTCTGTCTGTCTGTCTGTCTGTCTGTCTGTCTGTCTGTCTGTCTGTCTGTCTGTCTGTCTGTCTGTCTGTCTGTCTGTCTGTCTGTCTGTCTGTCTGTCTGTCTGTCTGTCTGTCTGTCTGTCTGTCTGTCTGTCTGTCTGTCTGTCTGTCTGTCTGTCTGTCTGTCTGTCTGTCTGTCTGTCTGTCTGTCTGTCTGTCTGTCTGTCTGTCTGTCTGTCTGTCTGTCTGTCTGTCTGTCTGTCTGTCTGTCTGTCTGTCTGTCTGTGTGTGTGTGTGTCTGTCTGTCTGTCTGTATGTCCTTTAGTGTTTGGAAATGACAGCACATTAATAACAAAAATGTTATGTTGAATTACATGAAAATGCTTTACAATTTATTTATCATATTTATACCAAATTTTTATAAACTCCCAATTCTTGTTCTTCCTTGTACAGTGGTATCAATAGTGTGGTCTTTAGTAATCGTGGTGAGGCATTGTATATGATGTCACCATGTGAGCTGCAGAGAGTGTCACTGTCTGCACGGCACATCACTAGACCCTGTGGCACCATACCTATTGTCAAACCAGAACCAGTCGAAGAAAAAATTGAAGAGGCAGCCAAAGAAAAGGTGTGTACGGATGTAGAATAATACATGTGATTATTCTTCTCTTTTGTATTGCTGCAGTTAATGTATGACAATTTCTACTTCATTAAGGAGGATTTCTTTTCATTTTATGAGGAGTTTGCGAATCAAAGAAAACTGAATCACTTTAAGGGATTTGTACAGAGTAGTTGTATTATCCATGGATTTGGAAAATGGAAAATTATTATGTGTCCCTTTCTTTCCTACCTCCCTCCTATCCCTTCTTTCCTACCTCCCTCCTATCCCTTCTTTCCTACCTCCCTCCTATCCCTTCTTTCCTACCTCCCTCCTATCCCTTCTTTCCTACCTCCCTCCTATCCCTTCTTTCCTACCTCCCTCCTATCCCTTCTTTCCTACCTCCCTCCTATCCCTTCTTTCCTACCTCCCTCCTATCCCTTCTTTCCTACCTCCCTCCTATCCCTTCTTTCCTACCTCCCTCCTATCCCTTCTTTCCTACCTCCCTCCTATCCCTTCTTTCCTACCTCCCTCCTATCCCTTCTTTCCTACCTCCCTCCTATCCCTTCTTTCCTACCTCCCTCCTATCCCTTCTTTCCTACCTCCCTCCTATCCCTTCTTTCCTACCTCCCTCCTATCCCTTCTTTCCTCCCTCCCTCCTATCCCTTCTTTCCTACCTCCCTCCTATCCCTTCTTTCCTACCTCCCTCCTATCCCTTCTTTCCTACCTCCCTCCTATCCCTTCTTTCCTACCTCCCTCCTATCCCTTCTTTCCTACCTCCCTCCTATCCCTTCTTTCCTACCTCCCTCCTATCCCTTCTTTCCTACCTCCCTCCTATCCCTTCTTTCCTACCTCCCTCCTATCCCTTCTTTCCTACCTCCCTCCTATCCCTTCTTTCCTACCTCCCTCCTATCCCTTCTTTCCTACCTCCCTCCTATCCCTTCTTTCCTACCTCCCTCCTATCCCTTCTTTCCTACCTCCCTCCTATCCCTTCTTTCCTACCTCCCTCCTATCCCTTCTTTCCTACCTCCCTCCTATCCCTTCTTTCCTACCTCCCTCCTATCCCTTCTTTCCTACCTCCCTCCTATCCCTTCTTTCCTACCTCCCTCCTATCCCTTCTTTCCT